AAAAATATCATCAGGTGAGGATTAAATAAATAAATAAAATAATTATTGATACTCAAAATGAGGACAATTATTTCCTTCAAATAACCTGCCACTTCTGAGAATTCGGTGAGATAATTTATATAAAGTGCTTGGAAAGTGCCTAGCACATAGTGAGATCTCAGTAAATGTTAATTGCCTTTTTTATTATTTCTCGTGTATGTTTTTTAAAATTTAAGGTGAACCATTTTAGAAAACCAAATGTAAGTATGTATGTGTTTTTATAGATATAAGTAAATTGCTCATTAGAACATACATATAATTTAGAAATTCAGTAAAAGTTGAAGAAATCATTATTGTTTCTTAAGATGTTTTACTAAAGGGTTAAATCTCTATTTACTGGAATTTAGCAATTCTAATAACTTAGAGATTTGTCTCTTTAAAGTAATATGTTTTGGTTGTGCTTCTTTTTTAATTTTATTTCTGGTGGCAGGTCTTACATATTCAATTCCAAAGCAATACCTAAGGGGCTATATGAGGTTAACCATAACGTTGTAATCTTTTTTTTTTTAATTTTTTTATTTATTGCTTTGAGAGAGAGAACAACACATCTATTTGTTGTTCCACTTATTTATTCCTTGATTGGTTGATTCTTGTATGTGCCCTGACGGGATCAAACCCGCAACCTGTTGTATTGGGACGATGCTCTAACCAACTGAGCTAACCAGCCAGGGCACATTGTTGTAGTCTTGGAATGGTTGTATTGTAATTGCTTGTTTAATTGTTCATCTCCCTTGTTAGGCTATAAACTCATTGAGGGCAGTGCATTTCCAGTGCCTAGAACAGTGTCTGCTATTCAGAGTATTTGTTGAAGAAAGAACAGAGTGACTTCCCATTTGAAAACACATGACAAAGGAGAAATGCTGAAAGCTGCCTCATGTAATGAAATGTTGAACTTCTGATTTTTTTCCTTGAAACCTGGTTTTTATAACAGGAAATAATGTCAGCCTCATGAATTTCATTTTCTCTTTTAATAGTAAACAAAGTGAGGCAAAATTTCATGGAAAGGGTCAAACCTCAGAATCTTTACAACCTAGGTTTAAGTCCAAGATCTGTGTCAGCAGCTTAACCTCTACCAACAGTGGAGAGTTCCAAATTAGGTATTATGTGAGGATTAGTCACATAGTAGCTTCAACAAAAAGTTAGCTTCCTTTTTCATTTTCTTCTCATATTACATAATTAAAAGTAATTCAGCTCTTCATTTCAAAGTAATCTCCATACTGTTATGTTATTTGGTTAAAAAAAAAAAATGGGACTGGTAGGCCAGCTTCTATGGGAAACAACTAGAGTAGCAGTCAGGAAACCTAAGGTAGTCCTGGCTTTTATTTATTAGTTTGTTTGTTTGCTTAATTTTTTTTTAATTTCAGAGAGGGAGGGAGAGAGAGAGAGAGACATCAGTGATGAAAGAGAATTATTGATCAGCTGCCTCCTGCACGCCCCCCACTGGGGACCCAGCCTGAAACCCAGGCATGTGCCCTGACTCGGAATCCATCCTTGACCTCCTGGTTCGTAGGTCGATGCTCAACCACTGAACCACACTAGCCAGGTAGTCCTGGCTTTTTACAGACTGGGAATGTGACCTTGGGTAAATCACCCAACTCTACCCTAAGTTTGTGTTTTTCATTAAGTGATATTCCCTAGTAATTAATAATATTTGAGAAAACAGAAAAAGGACTATTTTCTACCCTCTTTTAAAGAAGCTTCTAAAAGGTCAATATTACCTAGAAAAATTAACTATAAAACAACACAGAAACACTGTTTTTCTTAGGCACCTGAGGTATCAGAGCTGCCATGCCCCCACCCATACATTATAATTGTTCATTTGCATCATTCATTTGCATCACTCACTTTCCTGAAGCAAATTAGTACATTTTGAAATTCATATTTCATAGAGCTACTTAACTAATTGCTGCAATCAGCAGCAATTTATTATAGTAGAGCTGTTAAATCGCTCTGAGGTTGGCATACCATGTACAGTGTGTTTTTTATGGTCATTTTTTAATGATGAGTTTTAATAGGGAAAAATGGTTAATTTGTTAATATTCTCCTGAAAGCCTAACTTAGGTCCTGTGTTTTTTCTTTGCCCAGTGGTAACTTAAAAAGCCATGGCAAAGTCATTGACCCAGCCGGTGCACCAGCTGCCGGCGAGGCTGTCCCATTTAGAAGGACAGGAAAAGAGAAAGAGCACCCTGTTTTTACTCTTGTTTGGAGACCCTCATTAAATTACTCAGAAACAATAATCAGATAGCTGCTGTTCAAGTTAATGGCACCTCTGAGTCCCTGTCAAGAGAGCTTTATTTAATGTGCAACAGACCTGGAGTGATGCAGGTGCCTTTTCAGGCCCTCATTTAATTTAAGCTGCTTTTGTTGGCATGGCAACTAGTTGAGACATCTGGGAGACATTATGCTGGGGATTGAGACTTCAGAGGATTTCTGCTAGAGCAAAGCAGAAACCTTATTATAAAGTGATATGTGTGGCTTCTAAATTTCTGCACCTACATTGTTAAGTCTTCACATTCAGGAATTGTATTTTCCAGAGAAATAAATTTGTAAAAGGTCAGCCTGGTTGTTGACTTGTTTTCTGTGAAGAAAAAACTGCTTTACTTGAGGAGTGAAAAATATATTTCCAACTAAAACTTGACAAAACATAATCTCTGCTGAGTGGCTATTTTAATCAGTTTGTAAAAATTATACATTTAAAATACTTCAGTCTGTTATATTTAAAAGATACTAGTGGAGGGGAAAGAATATCTGCACAAAGGTAAACCAAATGATAAGTGTAGCCTGGCCTGTTTGACTCAGAGAATGAGCGTCAACCTATGAACCAGGAGGTTACGGTTCAATTCCCAGTCAGGGCACATGCCCTGGTTGTGGGCTCGATCCCCAGTAGAGGGCGTGCAGGAGTCAGCCAATCAATGATTCTCATCATTGATGTTTCTATCTCTTCCTTTCCCTTCCTCTCTGAAATTAATACAAATACAAATTAAAGACAATTATTTTTAAAATGGTAAAGATAGGCAGGGGCTCTTTGTGGTTTTGCCATAGACTTTCTGGTTAAAATAAGAGTTTATTAACTGACCCCCATTCTTTTCTCACCTAGTCTATCATCTCAAAAAGCAGAGATATGAAAGTAGCACTCTTAAACTCTCCTTTCTTAAATATTATAACAGGAAGTTGAATGAAAGGTTTTTCAAGTTCACTAATCCTGAGCACAGAGACATGGTGATCTAGTCATTTGTATTTAGCAGAGGGAATACCTGCTGGTTTATATTTTGGGAAATAAAATAAGGTTTTTTTGTGAGAGAAATTACGTACTTATGTATGTGGTCTTAATGAATAAGAATTGACTTATCATGCTCTATATTCATTTTGAACACTTTGCTTTTCAATTTTTTGCTATCTGGTAATACTTTGTGTTAGGTTGAACCATATGAAATTATTATTTTTGTTGGTCAAAAGTGGTCCCATATTGTCCCTTCAAATCCAGTAGGTCAACAACACCCTGATCTGGAAATAATGTTTTGTAAAAAATGGCAAATGAAATGTAAGCATTCTTTTCTGAAATGATTAATTATTTTTAAAATATCTGGTTAAACAGGATCATGCCAGCCAGACAATGTTGTCTTTTTTCCCTTTCTTTGAGAATGTAGTCACTGTCAGAAGAAAGCATATGACATTATTTTATACTTATTCTCTGTTTTTGGTTCTTGTATCAGTGTGTTTCTTTTATACATCAAAACAAGATTTTTCCAGTACCAGCACTATGAATGCAACCTGATAACTTGAAAATTAAGGTGTTTTCTCTCTGCCGCTTGCATGCATACCAAATGTGTCTACTGACAGTAAATATTCTGGCATCATAAGTTGGCTGCCAGTTTTGTGGATATGGGAGACAGAATAGAATAGAACCTGCTCTTCACTTCAATGCAAGAACTTTTCAATCCTGGCAGGAACAAAAAATTGTCAATTAACCCAGCAGACATGACTGACATTCCACAGTGCTTCATTCTCTATTTAGGATTTTTTTTTCCCCTGAATAAAACCTCAAGTGACAACACAATACGGTGATGGCAGTTGTGAAGTGTTTCTGGTTTTGTTTTGCTGCTTTGTTTTTTCCTTGTGTAATGTTTCTTTGTCTTTGTCACTTGAGATTCCTGGAACCAACTCAAGAATATTGGTACTTCTGATTAAGGCTTAATGGTACAAATAGAAGTTTTTTCCTGGCTCTATCCTATGATTAAGATGCTAGTAGGAAATTTTTTTCATTACGGGGTTAATATCCTTAATTTGTAAAGCACTCTTACAAATAAAAATTATCACCCCAGTAGAAAATTGAGTAAAGGACAAGAACAATTCTCTCTCTTTCTCTCTCTCTTTCTCTCTCTCTCTCTCTCTCTCTCTCTCTCTCTCTCTCTCTCTCTCTCTCTCTCTCTCTCTCTCTCTCTCTCTCTCTCTCTCTCTCTCTCTCTCTCTCTCTCTCTCACACACACACACACACACATTCACACTCTTTTCCTTTTTTTCTCTCATACTCATAGACCAACCTACTGCACTGCCAGTCATATAAAAGCATAGCATGTGCAATTATTTATAGTACATAATACTTGATAATAAACAATTGTGTTACTGGTTTATGTTTTTACTATGTTTTTATCATTGTTTTAGAGTGTATTCTTTCTACTTATAAAAAAAAATAATTTTGAAAAGTTGGCCATATTATGCCAGCAGCCTCATACATCTCATGTTTACCATGTCTTTTGATTGCACCATTTTCTCTTGTGCTTGATTTAATATTGTGTTGTTTTATTCATCATGGCCCCTAAACATACAAAACCTGCTAATGTTGCTAGTAACAGACTATGTTGAATTATTGACCTGGATATGAAATAAAAGTGACTCAGGACTACAAAGGTGGAAAATGAGGAAGGTTATTGGTCAGTCAAGCATGCCCCATTCCACCATAGGTACGATCTTGAAGAACAAAGTGATGGAAGTGTTGAAGGATCTGCTTCATTGAAGGCATCAAGACTAACAAAAAGTTGAGAGGAGCCTATATCAAACATGGAGAAACTTCTAATGACCTAGATTGATGACCAACACAGAAGCATATCCCTACAAACCCCATAACAATCATGGCCAAAGCAAAAAGTTTGTTTGCGATGTTGAAAGAAAAGGCTGAACTTGACTACAGTGTTGAATTTACTGCTAACTCTGGGTGGTTTAAGTGATTAAAGAATTGTTATTCATTACATCTTGTCAAAGTGATTGGTGAGTCTGCAAATGCTGATGTGAAGACAGGTGAAGAATTTTTGAAAATTCTAGATAAGTGATTGAGGAGGAAAATTACTTGCCAGAAGAAATACAGCTTATAAGCAAATCTATGATAGAAAAAAGCAATCAAGCAAACCACCATGGACATAGTTCTGAACCGAGTGACACTTTCTCAAGAAGAGCCTCAGGCAGTCCTTCAGTAGTTATTTTAGAAGACAGTGTTATCAAAGGAGATGACAGCTTCATGCATGTTACTGCCCCTGAAGAGTTTTCAATGAGATACGGTATAGAGTGGGAAATAGTGATATCAATTATTCTGATCAATATAGGTCTATGCCAGTGGTCGGCAAACTGCAGCTCACAAGCCACATGCGGCTCTTTGGCCCCTTGAGTGTGGCTCTTCCACAAAATACCACATGCGGGCATGCATGTACACTGCGATTGAAACTTCATGGCCCATGTACAGAAGTTGGTATTTTGTGGAAGAGCCACATTCAAGGGGCCAAAGAGCCACATGTGGCTTGCGAGCTGCAGTTTGCCAACCACTGGTCTAGGCTAATGTGTGTTCATGTCTTTGTTTTTAAAAAAATTTAAAAATTTTAAATAGAAGAGCTTATTCTATATAATATAACCCTAATATGCAAATTGACCAAACGGCAGATCGACTGGTCGCTATTATGCGCACTGACCACCAGGGGCAGATGCTCAATGCAGCAGCTGCCCCCTAGTGGTCAGTGCCCTCCCAGTAAGAAGCAGAGAGCAGGCAGACAGTGAGAAGCAAGAGGTCCCAGACTGCAAGAGGGCACAGGCCGGGCTGAGGGACCCCTCCCTGCCCCAGTGCACAAATGTCGTGCACTGGGCCTCTAGTCTAATACAAAGAAAAAATATTTGGTGCAGCTGTACAATGTGTTCGTGTTTTAAGCTAAGTGTTGTTACAATAGAGGTGAAAAGCTTAAAAAAATTAAGTTTATAAAGTAAAAAGTTATAGTAGGCTAAGGTTAATTTATTATTGAAGAAAGAAAAATATTTTTTGGTAAATTTAGTGTAGCCTTAGTGTCCATGATGTCCTAGGCCTTCCCATTGACTCATCACTGACTCACCCAGAGCAGTCCTGCAGCCTCCATGCATGTCCTATGCAGGTGTACCATTTTTTTTTATCTTTTATACCAGTGATGGCGAGCCTATGACGTGCATGTCAGAGGTGACATGCGAACTCATTTTTTTGGTTGATTTCTTTGTTAAATGGCATTTAAATATATAATATAAATATCAAAAATATGTCTTTGTTTTACTATGGTTGCAAATATCAAAAAATTTCTCTATGTGACATGGCACCAGAGTTAAGTTAGGGTTTTTCAAAATGCTGACACGCCGAGCTCAAAAGGTCCGCCATCACTGTTTTATACCATATTTTTACTGTACCCTTTCTCTGTTTAAATACACAAATACTTACCATTGTGTGACAGTTGCCAACAGTATTCGGTACATGCTGTAAAGGTTTGTAGCCTAGGAGCAGTAGGCTATCCCATATAGTCTAGGTATGTAGGAGGCTATTCCATCTAGGTTTGTGTAAGTACACTCTATGATGCTCGCACAAGGACGAAATCGCTTAATAATGCCTTTCTTAGAACGTATCCCCATCAATAAGTGATGCATGATTTTACTTAAATCAAAAAACTCAAAATGAGTTCTCAACTGCAGGCAGGCTAAGACATGAATCTGTTCTGTTCTAGATATACCAAAAGACCTTACCTTTGCAAGAGCTCTGAATTCCACATCTCCATTGCTCCACAGGCCCCCACCTTGGATCATCTGCTGTGTGTTCATTGAGCAAAACCCTGAGAATATAACAATATAAAGCATGGGAAGCTTAAAATTTAATGAGGAAGATATAAATATATAAAAATTAAACTGAGAATATAACAGAATATAAAGCATGGGAAGCTTAAAATTTTAATGAGGAAGATATAAATATATAAAAATTAAATAAGAGAATTTGTTAAGATTACATGACAACTTCAATTTGAACTAACCATTTTACACATTTTTAGGAGTACTATACTTAACAATAACAGTTGATAAGTAGGTCATCATCTTTTCCATTGGTGCCATGGTGACCTAGGGTGAGACCACCAACTCTCTCATTTGAAATAGACTCTAAGTCTGGTCTTCACACTCTTCCTGGCCTGGCTATCATTTAAAAATGTTTACCCTTATTTTTCTTTTTTATAATGCTGATTATAGGGACGTCACTTGGTTGTTCTGCTAACTTTTAAACAGTAAATTCTTAAAATTTTGCAATGTCTTCTGAAGGCTGGGTTCTCACCTCTAATATGCTGTCTAGAAGCTTTCTTTTCCTACGCTTTTATTAGCCTTAAAAATAGAAGTTATTCCTTTGACCTAGAGCCCACTTTGAGGGCATTGGGGGCTGAATTCTCTGAACTCTCCTTAACTTAATGCCTCAAGATATGTTGTCACAGAATTGATGCAGAGTGACCTACATAAAATTATCGTGTCTCCTCAACCACTCAGCTCAGATCATGTCAAAGTTTTTCTTTATCAGATTTTGCGAGGTAAGATTTTCTTCATGAAGAAAAAGATAGTGTCACTGTAAATGAAATGTTTTACTTTTCATTTGAACTTTAATCTGACTTTCCAAGGCTTTCTTTTTTCCTAAATACTTTTTTCCTTTTGACCAAGGTATATTTAATAATCTTTATACTTGATATTAAATAAGAGGCTTTTAAGGATAGCCAAATGGTTTTTATTTTTAATAATGGAGTAGAGTGTCCTAATTTATTAGGCAGTTGAGTAGGTCAATCTATACAGGTGAATAAGCAGGATGGTTTGTTAAGCAGCAGTGGTTTAGTAGGAGATGACTACCGATAAATTGAAAAGTCATTGTGTTCCCTATGGATGTCGTCCTTTCTTCAAGCCATTATTAGGTGGTCCTGATCAGAGTGTTGACTGAGTCCAACTCTAGGAAAACAAAATGATTATTAAAGTGAAAGCATGGAGAAGACTGATAGAAACAGCCAGCTAAATAATTCTCCATTCTGGCTTATTAAAGAGCAAGGACTTGATAGAGAAACGATTTGGGCTGACAGTGTTGGAATTTTCTCTGGCCATCAGGTGTGTCCTTCAGAATTTTTGCTATTACAAATTGAGAATTGTTTAAAGCTGACACAGCTTTCTGACCTAGAAAAATACTCCCCCACCTCCCACTGTCAAGATTCATAGAATTAAGACATTCTTTATAAAGATTGAAAAGCATCAGCCAAAAGGATGAAAACATATGCACAATATTAAAACTATTTTCTACTTTAATCACAGTATTAAAACCTTCTGTAGTTGTGTGTTGCTATTCAGCAGTGGGGGGAGAGGGAAGATATTGGATCTTTGTTATACTTGTAAAAAATGTGATTTGCTGTATTTTACTCAAAGGACAGCCTTAAAGCTATGACCTTTGTCTGGCAGTGCTAAAGCTCCCTGTCTTTTAAAGTGTAGTTAATTACCCTCTGGATTCTCCGAGGTAGAAAATACTGCCAACAAACATGGGCAAGTTTCTGAATTTTGTTGCATCTGTCCTGGGAAAGACTCCCTATTGGCAGATGGGAAGTATTTTGTTGGAGCATGCTCGGAATCACAGGTTGAGGGTCATTAATAGCAGAGCTCCAGTAGCCACACTTATGAGTAACTTAAGGATATTGGTCAGCATTAAGGCCAGAAAAGCTTATCTATCCACAAACCTAAATAATCTTTTAAATTATCTCTAGATTATGTAAACCTTTGATGACACTTTATTTTACTGTAGCAAAATTATATTTTTTTTGAGCTAAGACTAAGTCAAGCTTTTTAATCATGATCACTAAGCATTTAGTTAGGGAACCATTTAAAATCCTGTATTCTCTGTTTCTATGGTTTTCCCCAGATCAATGGTTGAGTAAAAGGAATTAAATATCTGCAATTAAATCTGCTTGTTATTTCAGGTTTGAAATATCTTCATTCAGCTGGCATTTTACATCGAGACATTAAGCCAGGGAATCTCCTTGTGAACAGCAACTGTGTTCTAAAGGTAGCTTTTCCATTTATTTCAGTATCTGAGAAAAAATCAGAATGTCAAGGCAGGTTTAAGAAAAACACGTTTTTCTGAAAGAAATCCTTATTTTTATTTTCATCACTTAACCAAAAATTAAAGAACCCAGTTTTCTCTAGTGATATCACTAGTCATGGCCGTAGTAACTAATTTATAGTATTGCCTCATGGTTTCTTCATGATATTTTGCATATGTTTTGGAAAACCTGAAATTGGAATTATAGTGGGACTAAAAAACAATAATAGAGGTAATTTCTTTTCAGATTATTCCATTGTTAAAGGAAGTATATATCGGAGGAAATATCGAAATACCAGTAAGGTTCTATTTATATGAAAATGAAGTATGACTTTTTTAAGAAGACTGTGTTTTTACACAGCTAACATTTTTATATGCTGTTAGAGGTAGCAAAGTAGGAAAGTGGAAGCATTTAAAAGCGAAAATACTAAGCTAGAAAGGGGTCAAGTATTTATTAATATACCGTATTCTCTTCTGAAGGAGAATTGCTTATGGGACTAATTATAGTTAGTAGCCCCAAATTTTCATATGTTAATTTCAGTTTTACTTATCACCCCTCCCCCATGTCTTTTGTTAGAATGACTCACAGAACCCACATATGTGCATTTCCCCACCACTAATAGAGATATATATTAGCAAAACTCCTAAAAAGCAAGAGATCCACCATATTTTTCCCCATCATAGGAATTACAGATAAGGGCCTTCCTGGAACTGTGCCATCTCTGTGTGAGAAAATTAAAATTCCACTTATTTTATGAGTAACTACAGTATTTATGGTGCTTCACCTACAATAAATATAAAATATTAACATTTTTGCTGATATATATGAAAAAAAATTTTTTTAAATGTTTTCTACTTTAATCGCCGAAACCGGTTTGGCTCAGTGGATAGAGCATCGGCCTGTGGACTGAAAGGTCCCAGGTTCGAATCTGGTCAAGGGCATGTACCTGGGTTGCGGGCACATCCCCAGTAGGAGATGTCCAAGAGGCAGCTGATCAATGTTTCTCTCTCATGGATGTTTCTAAATCTCTATCTCTCTCCCTTCCTCTTTGTAAAAAATCAATAAAATATATTTTTTTAAAAGAATGTTTTCTACTTTAATCAACAGAGGGGAGATGGGTGAAAAAGGTGAAGGGTATTAAGAGGTACAGATTCCCAAGTTAAAAATAAAAGTAATCCAGACTGTCATTATTGTTTAGCGGAGGAATAGATAAACTAAATATTAAAACCAAATATATAAATGAATTTCACTTTTTATTTAAGTGCTATCTTTCAACTGTAGGCCAGTTTTCTTTAAAAGCTGGTGTGTTATGCTGCTTTTGAATAAAAATTTTTCCTTCATACAGTTTCCAGAACTTTGTTCCTGTTTTGACCCTAGCTTAAAAACGTATTTTTCATATTTTCTCTGAAACCAGCTAATGTTGTAGTTTAGTCCTTTGTTTCCACAAAGAAATTAATTATTCCCAAAATCCCTTGAAGTAAATATTCCATCATAGGTCATTGGGTTCATTCCCCTGCCACCTATCCCCATAACCCATATAATTTAAAACCTTATAGTCAGGAATTCTTTGTTCTATTCAGACCAAATCAGTTTTATGACAACTTAGCCAGTTTCTTATTTCAGTTTCTGTTGGGAGAACTTCACAAAGCATTTTATGTTGACTCTGTCATGCTTGATGCCATTAACTGCTTGAGGTTCATTTTCTAAATTGTTATGATGTTGTAACCTCTGGCTACATGAATAAGTAACTAAAGGAAAATGTCATTTATGAATAAACAACACAAATTAAAATTTTTCTCTGCTCCCTTGACTTCTCTCAGTGGCCTACTTTTAAAAGCCAGAGTAGAATGCAGGCTCTCCTCAAATGTACAAATTCATCAATAATATTATGGTAAAATATTTCTTTTATTTTTTAAAAGTTTTTTTATTGATTTTTAGAGAGGGAGGAAGGGAGAGGAAGAAAAGAGAGAACGATGTGAAAGTGAAATGTGAGAGCAAAACATTGATTGACTGCCTCTTGCACACCCTCTACTGGGGAGCGAGTCTGAAACCCGGACATGTGCCCTGACCAGGAATCGAACTGGCCACCTCTCAGTGCACAGGACAACGCCCAACCAACTGAGCCACACTGGCTAGGGCTCCAGACTGATGTTTTTAACAAAAGAT